AAGAAGCAGACAACAAAACATGATGATTCACATGGTCATATCATATCACATCATGCACCTGCAGCGCTTCTGCCAGCGGAGAAAAACATAATATAATAAAGCTAGGCTATATATATAACAAATAAATAGGCCTATACGAGAAACATATTTTTACTTAAATAATGCTGCAGCTAACCTTACTTCCACAGGCTACATACAGCAATATAAACAACAGCTGTGCATGCTCTCTTCACGCAGTTCTTGTATAATAATAATAATTTAATAATATAAGTATACAAGCACACCGCTCCACTGAGAACTGCACTTACCGGCAGCTGCGGACGTTGCACGTGCCTGGTTTGTAAACATTTCGCGTCGGAATTAGGCCTATTTCTGAAGGAAATTAAAAATGTGACTTATACACGACTTATTTTTTTTCCCCCCAAAACACATTTTTTATACGTGTAGCGTATTTTAAACATCGCAGCAAACCTTTTTAAATATTTTGATAAGTTACTGAAAAATAAATAATTAAATGACTTTTTAAACCGTTTAACTGATTTAACTGGTCTTAGTCTTGACTTGGACTCAATCTACAGCCTGGACTCAGATTCAGATGAACTGGCTTCAACTACAACACTTATGTAGTCCATTCTTTTTCATCCATTTTCTTCCCCAAAGTACAATAATATACGTTTAGTCAAGTTTTCTTACACCACAAACGGCAATTATGTAGTTTGTCTATTTTTTTTTTTGGTGCTTCAAGTTAAACTGTTGTTGGTACTGTGCCTTTAGAGGAATAGTTCACCCAATAAAAAAAGAAAATTCTGTCATCATTTACTCACCCTCATTTTGCTTTGAACTGGTATGACTTCCTTTCTTCTGTGGAACACACAATAAAAGACATTTTTAAGAATGTTTAAACTCTTTTGCCTATACAGTCAAAGTTAGTGGAGTCTTTAAAATCACTGAATTTTTAAGACTTCTATATGCAAATGACCTCTGTTATAATTGGCTAATCTCTTACTAACTTTTCACACTGTTATTCATCAAAGCTTGTAATGTTAGTGAATTCTAAATATGTGAACGTGGTCGGTCATATGCTAATGAGCTTACTGTTTTGGCATTAATACCATGATGATTTCTGAATGATTTTCCAGTTTAGTTTAGTAGATGGTTCATGTTGAATGTGTGTTCAAAAAGAACAAGGAAAGGAGCAAGGAAAATCCTGTTTTCAGTGATACATCCCCTTTAACTACTGTTGAAATTGTAACTTCTGGTTATCAGTGGTGCTGATTCTGTTCACCATCATATAGGTTGTAAAATCCCAGAGGAAGTTGACACAATGCAGAGGAGGACAGTAATGTTAATGCTCTGTGGTGCGTAACAGTGTGGCCTTTGTTATATAGTATACACGAGGGCCTTAGAGTATGATTCTCCATGCGTGTAGCTGTGTGCTTTTGTTGAGTAATGTGTTTTGACATAACTCATATTCTCTCAAACCTCAGGACTAATATGACGTTTAAGGAATCAGACATGTATGGCTTGCGAAGGGGCATTCTGTTATTTCCATGCAATGATGTGACTTTTTCTTCCATTTTCTCTTCCCTTTTCCATGTCTCACATCCTTTCTCGTTCTCACTCTTCTGTCTGCAGTGAGTGACAGCTGCTTCAGAAACCTTGCTGAGGACCGCAGTGGAATCAACCTCAAAGATCTCGTCCATGACCCGTCCTTGTAAGTGACTCACACACAATACACTGGCTATTTACAATACTGTCCTGTTAAACATAGAACATTGCCAGACAGTCATTGTGTCCCATTCCTAGACTTTCTGTGTGCTGAATGGATGGTTGTCCTTCATGAAGATCAAGGCATGAATTTCAAGGCCCTGTCCCAGATCAAGACATGTTTGTAAAGTACAAAAAACCACAGGGCAGCAGTGTTCAGTCTTGCTCCTGGAGGGCCAATGTCCTGAAGTGTCCTCTAACCTGCCTCAACACACTTGCCTGGAAGTTTCTAGTAACCCTAAAGCTGGTTCAATTAGGATTGGAGCTAAATTCTTCAGGATAATGGCCCTCCAAGAGCAGGATTGGACATCCCTGCCATAGCTTAACCCTCTTTACCATCCCTGTGTGCCTCTGAATGCTACCTTAAGCCGATCCCACACTGATGTGAACTACTACCCAACCCTGAACAAGCTAATCAAGGTCTGAACAGTTACTAGGAAGCTACAGACAGGTGAGTTTTAATTAGGGTTGGAGCTGAACTCTGCAGGGCTGCGGCTCTCCAGGACCGGAGTTCGCCACCCCTGATCTAGATTAATATGTGGACTTGGTGGAGGACTGCAAGCCTTTAGGTCGGCATTTGGGACAAGACCCAAGAGTCCATCCTTGACAAAGGAGGACAGCAGCTACAATTTCTTACTCGGTCTGTGTGCATTACCTTTCATGCATTGTTGCAAACATTATTGATTCTGTGAATCGACAGAATTTGAAGCAAAGCTTCTATACAATTTCACATAATGCAGGCCTCTCGTATGGCAGCTACTTCTCATATACTTCAGCAGAGACCTCTCGTGCTTTGAGAAACCTTTAACAATCTTCAGCAAGAAGGAGAGCTAATTGTCCTTCCACCTCTCTGTATAAATGCTGGCTTCTCTAGGTATAATCTGAAGGTTGGAAGGCCTCAAGGTACATCCAAATCAAATGTTCACTAACAACCTGTCTAAAAAGATGCACCAATCTAGTTGATTTCTGAAGTGCCTTGGAAGACCTGTTTCCTTGGGAAGGAAGTTAATACAGAAAACACTACCTACTAAGCTATTGGTACTTGAAACTCAGCAACGGTGCAATGCTCCATCCTAATAATTGAATTATCTTTTTGGTGTTGTGGCATTATGGGTAAAGAAGTAGGGACATAAGTCTCTATGATGGATTAGGAATTGATGAGAAATTGTTCCAAGACTGCATCTGTTTCTACTTTAGTATCAAAAACCAAAGCTTTGTTCAGAGCAATTCTCCGTACCTGGACCAAGGTCAGAGGAGTGACAGAGACAGCAGGATGTAGGTCTCTGAAAGATGTCAGAGAGGAAGAGAAGCATGGGGCGCAGCCAGAAGGTAGAGATAGTTCAGAGAGTATTGATGGATAAGGTATGTGTGTGTTGTCTGTTGACTGGTGAGCTCCATCTCCAGTGCTCTGTCAGCTCAGGTGAATTGATTCATTGGATGAGCTGTCAGTTTTACTAACGAGGTGTGGTAAAAATAGAGCTGAATTAATCATAGTGGGGACACACACGGCTCATCGTCCTCTGGATAGAGACGATTCCGATGTCTTCACCTACAGAGAGGTGAACATGCAGACGTTTGAGAGAGGGAAAGCTGAGCACTCACCTGAGAAACAGAGATGGACGTGTCTTCACCCCAGAGCAGAAAAGTGTCACCAAGGTCATAGTTACTTATGAGAGCGACTTTTATTTGCTGTGGGCCTGCAGACAGTTATTTATTAACTCGCCAAAGCTTTTTAAAGGGATAGTTCACCCAAAACTGAAAATTCTGTCATTAAATACTCACCCTCATGTCGTTCCAAACCCGTAAGACCTTCGTTCATCTTCAGAACACAAATTAAGATATTTTTGATGAAATCTGAGTGCTTTATGACCCTCCATAGACAGCAACACCACGTTCAAGGCCCAAAAAGGTAGTAAGGACATCATTAAAATAGTCCATGTGACATCAGTAGTAGGGATGGAACGATTACCGGTTTCACGATAAATCACGATAAAATGCCCTGACGGTTAGTATTACCGTTTAAAATTTAATTATCATCAAAACCGTGTTTGATTATCGCGCTTTTGAAAACTCGCGGTAAATCCTGTCCAGCCAGCATCAGTCTGACGCAGAAGCAGCATGCAGTGTTGTTGTTGTTGTTGTTTTTTTTGCACGAGACGAAATGGCAGAAGGTAGTGACAGCGCTCGGCAGATTTTTCAGCCATCTAAGAGAACCAAATCGGTGGTCTGGTCGTATTTTGGCTTTTACAAGAGTCCTGAAGGCAATTTAATCGAGGACGGTCACCCTGTCTGCTGATCTTGCAAAAAGAAAGTCGCTGCAAAAGGGGGAAACGCATCAAATTTGCTCCGTCATCTTCGTGACCACCACCCACTGTTAGCGAATGCAAGGTAACTTTTACCTCAATACCAAAACTAACTGGGCAAATAATTGGACAAAAAATATTGATTAGAGATTAAATATTTCGTTATCTCACTTGTAATTAACGCAAAGCTTCCGCGAAGAAAAGTTCGCAGCAAGTGACTTTGAGCCAAGACGAACGAACGTTCAAACTATAAGGTTGACATTTAAGGGATAATGTATTGTATATTCATACTTAACTTATTACACAGATTTTTTTTGTTTACCTATAATAATATATAAATACGGGGATATGAAATATTGAATTGAGATTAATGTTTTGAAATCTTACCTGTTTATAAATCCATTATGAACAGTGTACAAAACAATCGTCAGGACAATATGATCACTACAGCAAAATTATAGTAGTATTAATACTAAATTCCTCTGATTTCACTTTCAATACAATCAAAAACTGAGACGCAAGACGGCAAGCTGCATTTGAATGAAACGAGAGAGCGCGTCCGCGCCACTGCGGTGATACAAGAGACATGGGGCGAATTCCAAACAGAAGTGAGCATCCCTATGCCCTACTCCCTTCGAAGGGCAGAGCCCTTGAAGTGTGTTCTTTGAAGGGTGCAGGGCATTACTGTCTCGTATAAGCGTTTGAAACTCCCTTGGCGAAGGGAATGACTGACCAAATGTTACCTTGACAACGCTGCGCGTGCGTGCAGCATTCAGTACTCCATCAGTTGTTGCAAATAAATATTTATTATTATTATTATTATTTTATTCAAATATTGTCTAATTGTGTCTTATTTACTATTAAACGTTTTCAAACTAAACTTGCTTACACTACCGTCTAAAAAAAATTGTGATTCTCAATTTATCCAGAATTGTGCAGCTCTAGTCCTGTTTGTTTGTTTTTTGTACTTGAGTGCAATACATTTTGGTTGAAAAAATGAGAATCGTGGAAGAGAATCGTGATCTCAATTCCCATGGAGAAAAATCGTGATTCACATTTTAGCAAGAATCGTGCAGCCCTATAACTGCGAAAACACATCCAGAACATCTGTGCTAAATGCAATTTGCATGATTCTTAGTGCTCTAATGTAGAGGATACTTTACTGAGTCTCTTCTAACTGAAACGTTTTTTAACTTCCTGTTTACAGTGGGCGTGATTTGCACATTGCTAGATGCTAGGAAAGCAGTGCTGTATTAACACTAAAAAGTATTACTTAATATTTTTTAATACATGAAATAGGCTACCTAGGAGCTTACTGCATGAATCCGTGAGTACAGTTTACAAACCCGAGGCAACGGATTGCGAAAGCGTGCGCACGGATTATGAATTTGTGGGCACGGATTCAAACACCGAAGGTACGGTTTACAAAATCTGAGCGCACGGATTGGAAATTCGTGGGTACGGTTTATTAATCCGTGGGCACGATTTGTTAAACCGAGGGAACAGTTTAAGAATCCGTGAGTACGGTTTATAAACTGAGGGGACGGATTGCAAAACCGTCGCCACGGATTGTTTTTTTTTTCTCCTACAGGTGACTTCCCGGGCTCCGTAGGTTTTTGACTGAGGGTTAATGCGAATAATGGGAGATGGAAATGCATTTTGCGAATAAATTCCTCCACGCGCAACAAAAAATGTTGCTTTGCGCTATGGGACGGCATAACTTGACTAACTGGACCGATCTTGTTGCACAACATCTGAAATGTTGTTATGGTCATTCTTAAATGCCAGAGTAAAGTCTTTTGTCAAAGTATTTCTGTATAATTGCCTCCCAAAGAGCAGGCATCCACCTCTGAAAGCAGTGACTGCATTTATTGTGTTTAGTCTGCTCGCTCTAAGGTGCAAGTAATTTATTATTAAAAAAAATATTATATTCAGTGGCTTCTCCTACTTTTCTTAGTGATATTGCCAGTTTGCCAGGAAGTGACGATTTTGTTCTCTTTGACTCATTGGATGGAAACGGTGCTTATTCGCAAATGTTTTATGCGATATTCCAATTTTGCGCACAAGTTAAATTCGCAACTTTGGATGGAAACCCAGCTACTGTTTTAGCAGATTTAGTGCCTCGCTAAACTTGATTGCAGGTGGTAAATGAACAGCATGCTGTTTTTATGCACTGAAATACTATATAAAATTGGTGTAACATGGTTAATAAATTCGTCCCTATATATTCCAAAGCCTTGTCTGCTTAGGTGAGCATGGTTGGCTATTAGTTGCGTCCATGCACTGCACCACAGAGTTTTGAAGTTTTCAACCTCTTTTCAGGTTGAAACCTTTACTAAATCAGTAAACCCAGACACGTTAACATACTTGTTTGGGTTTGAGAAAGGCTGTGCAGCCCAACCCACATACACATTACACACTCATTAATAAAGCCATAATCGATCACAGATTCAGAAGACTCTCCAGTCAGATTCAGCTTTCTTCCTTCACTTTCCTTTGTTCGTGTGTACTCGCTTACACAAACAAAATACCCAGGTTGAAATACCAAACTCATCTCCGTCTTAAAGCACCTCTCCCCAAACCCCCAATCTTCACACACCAGTGGTTTCCCTGGCAACCGGATTAAAGAGCTCTGCATCTTTGTGTTCAGCATATTCTTCTTTTAGTCTCCGCTCTCCGTGTCTCTCTTTCCCTCTCTCTCTTTCTTTCTGTTTCTCGATTTCTTGCTCTTTTGTGGGCATTACACCATAGTAGTTAGATGGACAGATACATCAAGAGAAGATGGATCATATAGATAGATCAGTACTTCATGAATAGATGCAAAACATCAACGTAATCAACACAGAATATACAAATAAGCCCCAGAAAGCCAAACTGAAAAAAGGGATTTTGCTAAATCATTTCAGTTTCCTGACACATGAGCTTGTCCTTGTTTAAAAATCCTCTTTAGTTAAACCCATCGCGCTGTGGTTGACCTATGCGCTCTGGACACGCAGAAACATGGTGCTCATGCAGGTGATACAAGTTCGAGTCTGACTTGCATCATCTCCTGATCCCATTCGTTGTAACAGGCAACTGATTTCCAACTTTGATGTGATAGTTTGCATCTTGTATCACCTCTGTCTTCTCACATAATAACAAATTAGACTTAAATGAGCATGAAACACTGATTTGTTCATGTATTTCGTATGTAAACATGCCATCATTTTTTGTCAAAAATCAAAAATGAAACGTGTCCACATCTGTCCGAGCTGCACTCTATTTATTGCTAGTTGCAGTACTAGAAGCAGCCACTAGTGTGTCCTGCACTTCAGAATTTAAATATGGTTTGCTCAGAAGTTTTGTGCATATCTGTTCAAATTTCCTCTCTCTCCAGAGAATTTACACCATATAGGAGTACAAATATATGCTTATATAGGAAAGTGGTACTTGAAACCTAGCCATTGCGCTAATCCACCTGTTTTGTGGCCTAAAAACAGGACTGTCAAAGTTGAATCCTCTGTGAGCCGTCACCCCTGTGAATGCAGAAGCGAATAAAACAGCAAGAGCCCTGTGAAAGAAGAGACAATTCTTCTTTAACTGTCATTCCTGTTGTGGGTGGAGTGTGTGGGGATGTATTTTGACAGCTTTCTGGTACCTCTGGCATTGTGTTGCTCTTTCCCTTTCCTGCTCTCTGTCACATTGTGTTCTTTTCCTCTCGCTCCCCATTTCTCCCCTGCTGTTGGGACTGAACATACACTAACGGTTGTTGTCGTTTGTGTGTTTCACCCACAGGCTTGGAGGCATAATCTCTGCATACAAAATAGTCCCTGATGAGATTGACGAGATCAAGGTAACGCTTCCTCTCACCCTTTCAGTGAGGCTTCAGTGTGCACATCCATACACACCTTTGCACACTGCTGCACCCTAGAGGCCAGTAATTGTGCTGCACTCATAGTCACAACATGCTCTTTTTGAAGTTTATCACATATGGAAAAATGTATGTAAAAAAACATATGGAGCTGCATTTAAAAAGTAGAAATGTCATTGCACTAGAAAACACAAGCACACTTTTTTAACCAAAACATTTCATTAAAAGAATACTGTGAGGTTTTAAAATGACAAAACAAATATATGTGGATCATGTTCATAGTTAATGTGATGAACTTCACCACTTTATACATCCACTAAAAATCATCTCGGTTGGACTAGTTGGTTAAAGGTCTGTTGCTGCAATGATGCAATGACTTGCATGTGCAAATACTTTTTGGAGCCACTGTATATGATATTTTTTGCTGGTAACAGCAGTTTAAAATGTAATATTTTATTTATCAGGCCAGACTATATGCCCGAAATAGCTGATGTGATGTTGCACCACTAAATTAAGGGCGACTGCTCATATGGTGCACAAACGCACACATGCAAATGTACCTTTGTGCACTTTACAAAATTACTGCTGAACATTTTGTGTTGATATTCTGTGTGTTTTTGTGCATTAAAGGAGACACTGGTGGACTGGTGCGATGAGAAGGAGCTTAACTTGATCCTGACCACCGGTGGAACGGGTTTTGCACCCCGTGATGTCACGCCTGAGGTACATGGGAGCCCACCTGTTTGTGTTTGTGTCCATGTGAGTGTGTGTTTCTGCCCCCACACCCATGTGTCCTTGTTTTTCTGAGTCTGACTGTGAGTGAGAGAGAGAAATTGTGACGTTTGTATATTTGTGCATTGAGTTTGTGTACAATTTATTTTTCCATTCACATGTATGCTGTTTGGCTGATGATTTCTTGTGAAACAAACAGTTCTTGGAAAAATGTGACTTGTTAAAGGCTTTTCACAGACTTTTTATAAACTTTTAGACCTTTTACCTGTATATATAAAATGACCAGCTCATGTCCAGCCCAAGTGGAAAAATGAGCTGTTGCTGCCAGATCTTGATTGCCGAAAAATTACATTGTGTTTGATGCAAAACTCGACTAAATGAAATGAAAAAAAAAAAATCTGTAACTGTATATTCTCATGCTTTCTCAAGCAAAGCAAATTTTGAAAGTCCACTAAAAACATATCTTACATTTTGGTCATAGATAATGTTGAAGATATACGTTATTGTCAACATGTCTTAAGTGGTAAAAAAAAAAAATATATATATATATACAGTATATATATATGTATGTTGAGTTGAATTACTGAAATAAATGAACTTTTCCACGACATTCTAATTTATTGAGATGCACCTGTATATATATGTATGTATATAAAATTTTAAATAGTAACAAGCATCAGGGAAAAAAAGGAAACAAATCATCAGAACATTTTGAACATTCTGAAGATTTTTTTTTGTTTTCAGTATGCTTGTGTCGCTTACAGTTAAATTCCTTCTCTGATTTTATTCTTGTTTGCAACGTTACTTGGCAGTATTTTAAAGATATTATTGTTTTTGGTTTTTGCATGGCCTGTTATTAGAGTAGTGAAGGAGTTTTAACTCCTATCGACTGTGAAAAAAACCCGTCATTCAGTCGATGCAGAGACATAGACCGGGGGAATCCCACCATCTCCCCAGCCTCGAATATTACGTATCATAACGTAACTACTTGTAAACGTTATTTAGCAGTTTTTACTTGGAAAAGCAGCTATATGTTTTCTAGCATTCGAATAACTATGGATAAACCATAATCATAATCTAAACTGTAATCTTAGCACTCAGCATACCCGTTTAAAAAAGTTACCGCTCGCCACTGGTGTGTATGTGTGTGTACCTGTAGACCTCTACACAAAAGTGCTGTAATTGATGAGTGAAACAGTGTGCGTATCCATATGAGAGTCTGGTGGGGATTGTGCCTGGTGGAGCGACGCTGTGTAGCTCTTTTTTGATGTATCCTGCACTCCTTCTGCTTTTTACTAATGTGAGTGTTTGAAGTGTCATTCAATTCAAGGGCACAGTGTGTCACATCGCAGAGAAATTCCCTCCTTCTTTTAGCCCGAGATCCCTTTAGTTTTCTTCTCCTCCCCTCCCTGATGCGCACTTTTCTTCTTACTTTGCGTGTGTTCTTGAATGTGTTTGTGTGAATATGACTGTGTGCGGGTGTGTGTGATTCACCAGGATGGGACGGCGGAGGTGGAGGGACGTGTGTCCCAGGGGATGCTGGGAAGGGTTCAGTGAATGGGGATTTCAGATGGAAGAGTAGAGACATCAAAGACCCACTAGAAATGTGTTTGTAATGGAAAATATCAGCGATGGGGCTGTGCTTATGTCATGAGTATTGTGCTAATGCCACTGCTGTGAAGAACAATTGGCTCTAAACGATGAATTAGCTTAGCCTGTTAGCATGCATGACTGCAAATCATTAAAAAAGGATGTTAAGCAGGGCCCTCATGTTTTGTGGCTTTTACATTTTTTTCATATATTGAAACAAAATTGGCACCACTTACCCAGACAAAACTGGAAGGCCACTCACTGTCTAACAAATATTAGAAAGCTCTGCTATATAGGCTATATATTAGGGCTGCACAATTAATCTAATTTCTAATCGCGATTACAATTATTGATGCCACAATTACATAATCGTTCAAAGCGGCAATTAATCGTTCAAAGTCCACTTATGTTATTCTGTGTGCTTAAGATGCGTTTTTTTTTCTTTCTACATAAGGTCTTAAGGGTTTTTCCCATTATTTTAATTTTAGTTTTAGTATAACATTATAATACCATTCATATTTTAACTTTTTTTATAATTTAAAGAAGAAACCACTCCGATGTATATTTGACATTTGAGGCTTAATACTATAGAAAAGCACTAAAGGTTTTTCAGTTAGAGTGTTTTCAGCTTGTTTGTTTTCATATAAAAATATGGCATGCTGTTGCATCAAACAATGGTATAAACATCATTCAATGTAAATTGTGATAATCGTAATTAATAATCGCAATTACAATTTCAAGGGAATAATCGACAATTATGATTTTTGTCATAATCGTGCAGCCCTACTATATATATATATTCCAGTTTACCTGGAAATGAAAATCATCATGTCTTTCCAAACCTTTATATATGACTTTATTTCTCCTGAGGAACATACACACTGAAAGAATTTGGTGTAGGATTTAATCTGTAACAATTTCCATTCAGAAATGGCTAGTAATTTTACAAATAATTACAAAGAAATTGCAAGTAAATAAAAAAAATATTTTTAATAAAGACTGAAATAGTATTTCCTAGTAAAACCTACTCCAATAACTGTTTTATATACATCAAGTGACATGAAGTCAGTACTAAAATTATTATAAGTTATTATACTAATTTTATAGTCAGTTATCCTTTGATTAATAATAATGGCATAATGAACAGGAGGAAGATGTGAGACTCGAGAGCTCTATAAATAAATATTAAAAAACAAAAACAAATGAAGCAGAATCCTGCAAGTCAGACAACACTCATGTACTAAATCTGTACTGTAAAAAAAGACTGCTTTCCCTCCCCTATTATCGAATTGTACTGGTACTTTTGACATCCCTAAAAGATAAGATTGATGGTTTATGCACCTGTTGTTGCTTATAGATGTGTGTTCTCTCGTCTGCAGGCCACCAGGGAGGTGATCGAGCGTGAAGCTCCAGGGATGGCTCTAGCAATGCTCATGGGCTCCCTAAATGTCACGCCACTCGGCATGCTGTCCAGGTGAATGCAGATGCATAGACATGTCCTCTCATCTCACTCCTTC